GACTGTATAAAAAAATTATAACGAATGCAGAAGGTAACTCTATATTATTAGAACGTGCTAAAGCAAAAAATTCGCAATTTATAAAGTTATTTAAGTATTTAATTCAATTAAAATCACGAAAGAAAACCATTTAGTATATAATTTCTTCTTTTGGGTTGATATTTTATTAACATTTGCGAAACACAATAATTAATTACTTAATATAGTTATTAAAAGTTATTGATATAGTTTATTTGCATAAAATTCCGTCATTACGCACTACCAAATCATTTAAGATCCGAAATCAACTTAATTTGTTTTGATACGTACGTAGGGACTTTTAAATAACTTACTTTTAAAGGAAAGGAGTTGCTATTTTATGCCAGTACACAAACTTACTGAAATGGAAAAAGTTAGTATAAAATAAATTATGAAAAGGAAAGCCATAGAAATCTTGCACAGTATACTAAAATAATAATAAGTACATATTTTGATCACCTAACATTTACATGCATGAAATTAAACCTTTTTAACATATGTGACGATGCATCGCTCTTTTCTTACAATTAAAATTGCAAAAGATGATTACAATAAAGAGTATTCGAAGCACTCAAGTTCTAACCAAAAAAATAAAACTTGACAATAGGATAGATCCTCATATTTCTGTTAAAGATCAAATTTTTAATATGTTTAAAGATCATCAAATATTTGCTATTTCCTTTCATTACGATGATGAAAATTGTAAAAAAACTGTTCTTAAAGATCCATATTGTCCTAATGGCTTTGCAGCTGCCATTTTTCATGCTTATAATTATCATAAACATTTACGTTTAAGTCCTGATGATGTTTGGCTTACAATTTCTCAAGGTGTTGGTCGTCATATTAATTATAATGCTGAAAAATTTCGTAATAAATTTTTTAATCATCAAGAAAAGAAATTGATTTCAATTTATATTGATGATATCATATCGGAAACCACTCTTGAAGGTAATTGGCCAGAAGCTGTAAATAGAATTGTCTCGAAAACTGATGAATTTGTGGAAAAAATCCATTTAAAGGAATTATTGGAATGTAATTTCTCGACAACAACTTCAAGCTCTTTAACAGCAAGTCGTATTGTATTATTAGATATGGTTAAGTCTCATTTTAACTAAAGACCATGTTCTAGATGTGGAATTCCAAAAATTACACTTGAAGGAAGGCTTGAAGATTGGATAAAACTTCAAGAAAAAATTGTTCAATTAAGAAAATTGAATTTAGGTTTAACTTTTTGGTTAGATCGCCTTGAACCTGTGATTTGGAATCTTGTAGCAACTTACCTTGGTGAAATTGACGAAGACTTTTGGAGTAGAATTATGAGGATAGATGAAGTATTTGGTTCAGGAGGCGGTACTTATATCACAGGGTGGATGTTGGCTTTTTTTCCTTATAATCGTTCTGGAAAACCTTTACAACACAATAGGTTAGAACTTTTTGACATTCCAGATGGCATTGTCGAGGTTCCATTTACTACTGATACTGGATTATCTTTAAAGTTTATAGCTGGATTCATTGGTGCTAATCAAGACATTTTTTATGGTCCTACTGCTGAATCAGTTGTTTCTCCTGTGATTGGATGGTCCGTTATTGATGACAAGTAAAATTAAACAAATAGAGTTATTTTATAAATAGATCTAAAAATTTTTTGTATTATTAATTTACTTATTTGACTTAAAGTAAAATGTTATGTAGTATGGATTATGTCTCAAGTATATGAATAATTTCGATGAGAATAACAGTAATACCGTATATATTAAAAATTATATATAGAAGGGAACTTTTATAAATAATATCTCTGTTCTATAATTACAGTATCAATTGTAAAGACGGTT